CTACTTGTTAGGCCATCATTTACACACTGAGTTGTCAACGGATCAACAGATCATTCCCTTATTTCCCGAATATGACGAGGGAAATACGGCGGGTGGGACCGGTCGGCAGGGGATGCTCACTCCTCCATGGCACCTGATCCCACCTCTGATATTTAAGAGGTCTGTGTTTCCTCCGCTCCTATTTTGTAATGTTTTATGGACTTTTGAGCTCGAATAATGTTATTCATCTCCACTTAGTTCATTCCCAGATAGCATGACTATGTTGGGCCAACATTTGTTAAAGGTTGTATGGTTGGCGTTGGGGGAACAACGTTGGGCCAACGTTAGACCAATGTTACCAAGTCAACCTTCTCGACCATGACGGAATTCCTATGTTGGCCCAACGTTGGTCCAACGTAAGCAACTTCCATTCACTTTAGTTTCCAAGGAAGGAAGGATCATGGCGTTGGCCCAACGTTGGACCAATGTTTATAATACACCCTTAAAGAAAGTGTATTTACAAGTTGGTAGTAGTATGTTGGCCCAACGTTGGCCCATTGTTTGTAATACACCCTTAAAGAAAGTGCCTTATCAAGTTTGTAGTAGTATGTTGGCCCAACGTTGGCACAATGTTTGTAATACATCCTTAAAGAAAGTGCCTTATCAAGTTGGTAGTATTATGTTGGCCCAACGTTGGCCCATTGTTTCTAATTCACCCTTACAGAACGAGTCTTATCAAGTTGGTAGTAGTATGTTGGCCCAACGTTGGCACAATGTTTGTAATACATCCTTAAAGAAAGTGCCTTATCAAGTTGGTAGTAGTATGTTGGCCCAACGTTGGCCCATTGTTTGTAATACACCCTTAAAGAACGTGTCCTATCAAGTTGGTAGTAGTATGTTGGCCCAACGTTGGCCCAATGTTTGTAATACACACAAGTGTTATTTTGTTTAGGTCTTCAAAGATGGGATATTTATATTGGGCCAACGTTGGCCCAATTATTATACTGCCAACTAATTGATGGAGTCAATTTTATAATTAGCTGCTGAGCTTTACGTTAGGACAACGTTGGTACATTCTGAAATAATTGAGAGGACTTTCTATGTCCATGCTTATCATTGGATGACTGCTTTTGTTTAGATATGATATTTTCAACATTTTAACTTTGCACTTAAGAGATCAAGCACCAAAGAGTGTTTTATTCTATTTTTTGAATTGTGTATATGCTTATTTATTTGTAATAACCCAGATAGCAGAACACCGTCGGCCAAATCTTACATTATGGTTCTATTATCTATGTTGGGTTACCTTGATTGGGCCAACAATGGCCCAACATGGAATATTGATAGCTGGTCATGTATAATAGTGCACTACTTTTGGGCTTACTGTTGGCATTATATCATAAAACTATTATCATGAGAGAAAATATTTGTTTGGAGATTGGCATCGGCCCTACGTTGGCCCAATATACCATGAATCGGACTGAGCATCATGGGTAGACAACAATCGGGCTTCTTGTAGTATCCGCGCCATTTTTAATCTGACACGAGCGTAATGAGACTGATACCTTGCATATCTGCACTCACTTTGTAAGTATTAATAATATGTTTGCCTCGGCACAGCTGAATTAACGTTTAGTTTTTAAACGATATCATGTACAAATCTGTGTAAATCAGACACGGGGAATGCAGAGGCCAGGTGCTGTTGGGTCAACACTGTACAGATAGCATGCTTACATTGGGCCAACGTTGGGCCAATGTAATCGGTTACATCGGGCCAATTTTGGCAAATGGCATTGACCCAATTTAAGTTTGCTCATCGACCCAATGTTGGCCCGATATGTTGGGCCAACGTTGGCCCAATGTAGAGTGTTATTTCTACAGATATTGGCCCAACGTCGCGCCAACATTGGCCCAATAAATGCGACATTGTTGGCGAAACGTCAACAAGAACATTGGGCCGATGTTGGCAAATGCCGTTGGCCCAGTGTCATTTTGCTCCTTGGTCATATGTTGGTCCGATATATTGGACCAACATTGGGCCAATGTGTATAAACATTTGATTGTTACAAATTTGTATATTAACAAATCTGATCGTCTCTACAATCAAAAATAAATCTACAACCAATCCTACTTGAAAAATCAAGCTAGCTAAAAAAAAATTTTAAATTCTCATAATTTATCGAAACAAAATAAATAATCAGTGATTAAATTTTTTGTTTATATACAAGAAAAATAAATGAAAGTATAAAAATGTGTTTTGATACAGTTAAAACAATTAATAATTTGCTCGTTATTTAAATTGAAATTTGTGTCTAGTAGAATACATTTCCGAAGTCTACCACTTAATTTACTTATATACACTTAACGTCGAGAACATGATCAAACATTTTGAAAATGTTGAATTTGCTGAAGTTAAAACAAAATTTATTCAGTACTAAAAATTAATTGGGTTCTTTCATTTAAAATTTGTTCAGTGTAACGACAAATTTTCAATACATGTATTTTATATGGGGCAACATTGAATCAAAATTGTTTTGATGATGATATCAAGCGTATAAATATTATGCATAAATGCCTTCATCACGCAAGCTAATCACTTAATCACACCATGAAACAAAAAAGACGGTAATTCCTTAATTGACAGCTTAAACATATAGTGATATACTTGTAAATTTAATCGTATGTTTACTCTTTACTGAGAAAAGTAACAAATATATTAAGTACCTAATATTACAATTTTAGTGCTACTGGAGATTCTAAAAAGACATGGAGAACACAATCAAAGAATGGCTAAGGTATGCCAAGGACAGGGATGAGGGAGGAAGAAACGGACAGAGAAGAAAAGAAAGGGGAGGAGGAGACTCGGGAAGAGGAAATGGAGACTTAGGAGAGGGATCAGAAGGAAAGTGGCAGTGCCTAACTTTTTTCTGTGATATAGTATGACATTCCTGTAGTTCTACTTTTTTTGTGTCTGTTTGTCGGTTATAAACTCGATGCAGATGCCAGAAAATTTTTTTTCTGTAAGTAAACAAAATGACGGGATTCATTCTAGTATTATTTTAAGAACAGCTAGGAGGGCTTTGTTTATTTGTTAGACGTGCTTATTGATACCTGTAATTTACTGAACTTGTGCATAATTTACATCAGAGAGGGAGTATACAGTCATGTAACCCTACATGTATAGCTTGAAGTGAGCATCCACTTTTAATTCTTTATTAATGTTTTCTTCATGCACTGAGCAATAAAATTATAGTATGTTATAATTGAATTTTATATTTTGATATCTTTATTCTCAGTTTTTTTAATTAATGTAGAGCTACTTACAATGCAATACTTGTTGATGGCAATTCTATGAGAATATTGAGAATATGTATTAAACTATTAATCTAGCATATATAGCATATATAGAGAGTATTAAAGGCTTTTACCATTTAACTGTACTACAAAACTAGTATAACCTTATTGTATATATTTGTTTGTCAATTTTGAGGACAAATGGCCAACCAGTGAAGAGCAAATGAGTTGTCATGATGGAGAGCTAATAAGATACAAACCAACGTTGGCCCAAAAATGATGTTTTCCTGATATTGAAAGAATAAGTGGCCCAACAATGGCTCAATGATATCCGTTCGTTGGTCCAACAATAAGCCAACAAGTTGGTTTGATTAAGGGCCGATGAGCAAAATACCGATGGCCCAACATTAATTGCTTACAATGGCCCAACTGTACAAAAATGACGTTTGCCCAACATTGAAAAAATACATTGGCCCAACAGTGGCCCAATATTAACTGTTACATTGGCCCAACAATAAGCCAATAAGTTGGTTTGATGAAGGGCCGATGAGCAAATTACCGTTGGCCCAACATTAGTTGCTTACAATGGCCCAATTGTTCAAAAATGACGTTTGCCCAATACTGAAATAATACAATGGCCCAACAGTGGCCCAATTTTAACTGTTACATTGGCCCAACAATAAGCCAACAAGTTGGTTTGATTAAGGGCCGATGAGCAAATTACCGATGGCCCAATATTGAATTCAAACAGTGGCCCAACATAAGGAGCGTTGTTGGCCCAACAAAGGTCCAATAACATCCTGCTATCTGGGTTTTTCGTGGATTTAAGCCATCAACCTTTCTACCTAGAGGTAGTTATCGTCATTTGTCTGCATATCTGCAAACGTTCACAATGGGACCTTTTCTCACCTTTAGGGACATGTTACCAAGGTGACCATTCACACATACTATGCATCTTTTTTGTCAGATTAGACCACGGTATCAAAAACGTGTATCATATAGAGTTTGGAAAAATTCTGAGACTTCGTGTACCACAGCTTCTAGTCAAAAAACGTCCTTCCATTGAAACCTTAAGGTTCTTAATTTTTTTTTCAGTTCAGATTTGACGCATTTCTTCACCAAGCATGTTTAGGTACTTTAAAACAGCGTATTAATCGCCTAAACCTGTCAATAACCGTTAGGGGACCTGTGAGTTAGGTACATCACGTTTCATTTCGATTGTCATTATGTCAAAAGAAAATATTTTTTTCCAAACCGATTAAAACATTTCATGATACTTTAATTCAGTACAATTATGTACGTTCTAGGCACGTTTTTAATAAAAGCGTTCTCGACACAGCGTTTTCAAAAACAGCATAACATGATTTTGATGATAAAAAATCAAATAATGTTAGAATTGAAATATTATGATATTTTGTTATTCAAACATGTGCGTCTGTGTGTGTGGGGGGGGGGGGGTTACAAAAATGTTTTAATTTGTTTTAAAATTTGTCTGATATTGCAAATTGTTTTAAACATGTTTTTAAAGCGGGCTTTTTTTTTTATACATGTACGTACTATATATAAAATTTACATTAACTTCCAGTGCCCGTGAATAAAAACATATTTTTTCAGCTTTTGTTGTGATACTTTGAACGCTCCATACTTTCCTGTTTGAAAAATCCCGAGAACTTCCGATCGAATCTTGAATGGCATATGGCTATAGGGTTATGGCAAAAGATGTGTGAAAGAGGTGTATTGATTTTCATTTGAAGGGTTTAAATTTTAAAAGGTGAGACCATGAACAGAAAAATACATACAACAAGTTAATAATAAAGCGCATAGTGTTTCATAGAGATAAATACAATGTCAAGAAAGCAAAACAAACAAGGATATCTCTCACATTATGCGTAACTTGACCTGTTTACCTGTTTGCGTTTTTAAACTTAAACTAGCACTTCGTCCTAAAAATTGAAACGAAAGATTATAAGGTCAAATGTCATTTATTATAGTTATTTTATAATCCCAATAATATGGTAAAAGTTAAGTGATGTGTGCATGTAATGTAATCTGTAATCAAATAATCAGGCGAAAGATAGGCCCTATAGCTTGTGTGTGACTCAATGGAAGTAATCCAACCTGACTGCAAAATAAAATATTTTGTATACAAAGAATGTGCTTGTTAAAGATGCTTACACACAGATTTAAAACTAATTTCACAAAATTTCGGTATATCATGACTTATATATTGCTGTAACATTTCACACGGAACTATAATGAACATTATGAAAATAAAAACTTAGTAGTAGGAAAGGAGAAATGCATGAAGAAAACATGGCTTGACTGGGAATCGAACTGGGCACCCTGCATTACTAGTCAGGTGCTCTAACCACTGAGCTATCCAGGCCGATATCCACAGTCCATAAAGCCCGAACTTCTACATTCCTCCCTCCTTAAACAGTCTTCGACCACAAAGACACAAGTTCTAGGGCCCTGCCAGGAATTACTAATTTACACATACACTGTAACCTGAATAAAGCCCCCCACACTGGCCACCAAATGTAGTAGGAAAGGAGAAATGCACGAAGAAAACATATGGCTGGACCGGGAATTGAACCCGGGACCCCTGTATTACTAGTCAGCCGCTCTAACCACTGAGCTATCCAGGCCGATATCCATGGTCCGGAAAACCCAAACTTCTACACTTATAAACTCAGCAATAAGGAAAATAGAAAGTCAATATGACTTTAAATTTTACCAACCCCCCCCCTTATGTATAAGACACACAAAAAGAATAACACACATCTAATAATTCATTTTTCAAAAGATAATTTTAGGGGGTAGTAGAAAATGGGTGTATTACATGAGCAGAATTAAATGCCTTCATTTTTATCAAAGCTACTTAAGTATAAAATATATGAAAAGCTGTGAAATCTTGAAATCATTTCATAGACTAATTCATTATGATGACCCTCAGATTTTCAGGCATGCTGAATCTGACACCTGTCTGTATCCGTTGCCAGCCTATCTTTGGACTTTCCCTTCGCTTGTGTAGCTCAAAGACAGGAAGTCACTACAAAGATGTTCACCTGCCTGATTATAATACGTCTGTGGACATTAACAGTCATCGTCTGACACGCCCACAAAAGCCTCCCCCCACACCGAAATGGGAGGGACTCCAGGCCCTGGCAGAAAGAACCAAGGTTTGTTGAGAGCATTGTAGCAGGTACTAATGTACATAATTTGACATTATCTTAAAATTATAATACATGATTTTAAAGTCCTTTTTATGAATTCAAGTTCTGAAAAATGGTAACTTGCTGGTAAATATCAAAGCATTGCAGTAATGTGGATACACGTATATCAGTCTGGGGAACGGAAAACGACAAATTGGAAAATTTTGATGAGAAATTAATTTTAAAATATGCCATTTTTTAAATAAAAATTGTTAAAACTAGTAAAAGAATTTTTAAAAGGCCCTCAGAAAGACTAATAAAAGAATACTATAGGCAAAGAGTCACAGTTTTAACATTTTAAGTAGAACCTTGTAAATTGAACATCTTTGAACAATAACATCATTTGACTTCACCTTATGCCAAGGGTTCATGAGGAAAGTTGCGTATCAGAAACCCTTGACTAGCGAAGATGTTGTTATGTTTATTTTTATCAGTTTGCTATATTCATTATCTATCATAAGTATATTATTTTTGTTAGTGTTTTATATTTCACACTCATTTATTAGGGTTCACTAATACCAGAGACATTGAAGGCCATGGATGAGGATGAAGACTTCAAATTGACAGCCGCAAAAATCAAAGAAATGGGGACCAAGAAAATGACGAGAGAGGAGAGAAAGCGCAGACAGAGAGCTCTGACTGATTTAAATGTTCCAGACTTTGAGACATTCTGGAAACTGAAGAGGGCAGAAAATGGGGCACAAGGTAATAGACATTTATTTCATTTAGAAAACACATAAAAAATCATCATTCTCTGTCCTGTTTTACAACATACATGATATATATATATATTATTAGAACAGTATATTCGTATCACGTCGAAATCAGATCTAACGAGACACGAAAGTTTGATCTATGATCCGCGCCTGTCAACGAGACGCGAACGGCTCTTCGGATCAAGTTACTGTTATAATGATAAATTTATTATATACCCCCTTATAACTAGCTAAATATAGCAGAATAAAACTTTAGAGATCAATTGTATAATATTTATCCATAAAACAAAGCATAATAACAAGGGACTTTTGCGTACTACGTCATCAGTTTCAGAGAGTGGTGATATGGATTCAGAAAACCACAGTGTGGTGATCCGGAAAATCGGATCAAACTCTGTAAAATTAACAGTAACAAAAACAAGGAAATTGATGGGTATATAATAAATTTCAAAACCTATAAAGTTTGTAAAATTTGATTTTACCATGGTTTGCATTGATACCTACTATGTAGCTATTAATTTTTCAAAGAAAAACAGTTGTGAAAGAAGAGAAAATGTGCTTACATTTGATTTTTAGTCTACTTTATTAAGAAATGTCCATATCTCAGGAGCAGACAAGGAGGATGCATTAATTAAAAAGACCATAGAGATCCTGCAGGCCAACATAGGACTGTATTGTAACCAGGCCTGTAACCACTGTCATGTGGAGTCCTCACCACGCCGCAAAGAAATGATGAGCCGCGAAGTCGCAGATAGATGTCTGGACATCCTAAAGAATAGTCCCTCAATCCACACCCTAGATCTCACAGGTAAATCACCAGGATAGTCAGACAGAATATCCAAAATAGTCCCTCTATCTACACCCTAGATCTCACAGGAAAATCAAAAGGATAGTCAGACAGAATATCCAAAATAGTCCCTCTATCCACACTCTAGATCTCAAAGGTAAATCACCAGGATAGTCAGACAGAATATCCAAAATTATCTCTCTATCCACACCCTAGATCTCACAGGAAAATCTCAAGGGTAGTCAGACAGATATCCAGAATAGTCCCTCAATCCATAATAACAATAATACTTGCAGAATATCCAAAATAGTCCCTCTATCCACACCCTAGATCTCACAGGTAAATCACCAGGATTGTCAGACATAATATCCTAAATAGTCCCTCAATCCACACCCTAGATCACACTGGAAAATCTCAAGGGTAGTCAGACAGAATATCCAAAATAGTCCCTCAATCCACACCCTAGATCTCACAGGTAAATCACCAGGTTTGTCAGACGGGAAAAATAGTCCCTCTTCCCATATACAGGATCACCTAGATAGGTTGCTGTAGAACTTTGGTTGATTAAATTGAGATTTGTTATGCCCTGCCATGAAAATGGCCGGGGCATATAGTGTTTGTCATGTCCGTCTTCCGTCCTTCTGTCCTTCCGTCACACTTTGCGTTTAGCTCTGTTCAAAGCTAAGTTTCCAAGAAACTATCCAAGATATTTTCATCAAACTTCATGTGCTGATAGATATTGATGAGAGCTATGCAACTGCATCAACATTTTTTGACCTTGACCTTTCCTTTGACCTTGACCTCACTTTTCATAAATTAGTGTTTAGCTCAGTTTTAAACATTCCATTCAAGATGGTGTTATCAAATTTCACATGTTGATACAAACTTGCACAGATGATGCATCCAGGGATGAACTCTACAAGACTTGCTTCGGATGCTGGATCTGACCTATATTTTCTAGATGAGTGACCAGGTTAAAGTTTTTGGAGCAGGTGCATTCCTAAGGAACTATAAGCCCTACTTGGACCAAACTTGCATGGATGATGCATCTAAGGATGGACACTACCAGACTTGTTTCGGATGCTGGATCTGACCTACATTTTCATTCCAAAGTAACTATAAGCCCTACCCAAACCAAATTTGCATGGATGATGCATCTAGGGATGGACACTACCAGACTTGCTTCGGATGCTGGATGTGACCTATATTTTCATTTCCTAGTAATTGTAAGCCCTGCCTGAACCAAACTTGCATGGATGATGCATCTAGGGATGGACACTACCAGACTTGCTTCGGATGCTGGATCTGGCCTATATTTTCATTCCCTAGTAATTATTAGCTCTGCCTGAACCAAACTTGCATGGATGATGCATCTAGGGATGGACACTACCAGACTTGCTTCGGATGCTGGATCTGACCTATATTTTCATTCCCAAGTAACTATAAGCCCTGCCTGAACCAAACTTTCATGGATGATGCATCTAGGGATGGACACTACCAGACTTGCTTCGGATGCTGGATCTGACCTATATTTTCTAGATGAGTGACCAGGTTCAAGTTTTTGGAGCAGGTTCGTTCCTAAGGAACTATAAGCCCTACTTGTACCAAACTTGCATGGATGATGCATCTAAGGATGGACACTACCAGACTTGCTTCGGATGCTGGATCTGACTTACATTTTCATTCCGAAGTAACTATAAGCCCTACCCAAACCAAATTTGCATGGATGATGCATCTAGGGATGGACACTACCAGACTTGCTTCGGATGCTGGATCTGACCTATATTTTCATTACCTAGTAATTATAAGCCCTGCCTGAACCAAACTTGCATGGATGATGCATCTAGGGATGGACAATACCAGACTTGCTTCGGATGCTGGATCTGGCCTAAATTTTCATTCCCTAGTAATTATAAGCTCTGCCTGAACCAAACTTGCATGGATGATGCATCTAGGGATGGACACTACCAGACTTGCTTCGGATGCTGGATCTGATCTACATTTTCATTCCCAAGTAACTATAAGCCCTGCCTGAACCAAACATTCATGGATGATGCATCTAGGGATGGACACTACCAGACTTGCTTCGGATGCTGGATCTGACCTACATTTTCATTCCCTTGTAACTATAAGCGCTACCTGGCCCAAACTTGCATGGATGATGCATCTAGGAATGGACACTACCAGACTTGCTTCGGATGCTGGATCTGACCTACATTTTCATTCCAAAGTAACTATAAGCCCTACCTGAACCAAACTTGCATGGATGATGCATCTAGGAATGGACACTACCAGACTTGCTTCAGATGCTGGATCTGACCTATATTTTCATTCCCAAGTAACTATAAGTCCTACCTGAACCAAACTTGCATGGATGATGCATCTAGGGATGGACACTACCAGACTTGCTTCGGATGCTGGATCTGACCTTTATTTTCATTCCCAAGTAACTATAAGCCCTACCTGAACCAAGCTTGCATGGATGATGCAGCTAGGGATGGACACTACCAGACTTGCTTCGGATGCTGGATCTGACCTATATTTTCATTCCCAAGTAACTGTAAGCCCTGCCTGAACCAAACTTTCATGGATGATGCATCTAGGGATGGACACTACCAGACTTGCTTTGGATGCTGGATCTGACCTACATTTTTATTCCCTACTAACTATAAGCCCTACCTGAACCAACTTGATCAAATTTTATTCACATACAAATTTTCATGTTGCTTTACTAAGATATCCTCGGCGGGGCATTCATGTCCTATGGACATATTTCTAGTTGTTGATGTATTTTATTCTAAACATCCTTGATACAGCCAAATTGTCTGCTTTTCATGATTTAGTTTTTAAACAGACATATAAAAAAAATTATAAATTTTTTTAGATTATATAATTTAAATGCGCAAAAAACTTGGAAAGAAGACCTTGGAAAATATTTTTTGTTTTAATCATTATTTGAAATACTTGTTTATGTGTCTTACAGGAGGTGCCCCCGAGCTGTTAGATGAGTTTAGATACCTGGTTAGAGGGGGTCGAGAACTGGGGAAGAATATTATAGTAAGGAGTAACCTCACTGTACACACAGAACCTGGTAGGTAATTAGAGTGACCTCCCTTCTCCCTTTGTAGTCTGATGATCAGTCTGAAGCATTGTTAATCAACAATTATCTCCTCTTTTTACATTTTAGAGTTTGAACAAGTTATTAATTTTTTAAATCTGGAGAATTAAATTTAAAAAAAATTTAAATCATACCATTACTATAATGCTAATAAAGTTCTTTGAATTAGTTTTTGAGCTGGTTTGATTGTGTTACAGGTCAGGAGGACACAGCAGAGTTTATGAGGGACCACCAGGTGAACATTGTAGCCTCCCTGCCCTGCTACACAGCAAAGAATGTCAACCAACAGCGGGGGAAGGGGGTGTTTGATCGGAGCATACAGGCCCTGATCAAGTTCAACTCCCTGGGGTACGGAGAGGAGGGCTCAGACCTAAAACTGGACCTGGTCTATAATCCTCTCGGTAAGTAGGTCAGGGACATTCTTTTTTTTCTGTGTACATGTATCACCTGGATACTTTGTAATATATGCCAAAGAAGCACTAATTTTCAAAAAGTTTAATGAATGGTCATTTTTAAAAAAAACTTAGCAGGCATTGATTTTGTTGTTTCAAAAATAACTCTATTCAATTTATGGTCACATATAATAAAAAAAAATTGTGTGGGATTTAATTTTGTTGATAATTGTTTACCAAAAAAAATGAAATGAAATTCTGAACAAATATTACTTGTTGTACAGTATACATTTATATTTGAATTTATGAACAAAAATGCCCTTTAAGGGACTGTACTGTGTACATAGAATACATGTAAAAAAAAAAATTGTTTGTGCAAGAGAAAAAAAACATTAATTTTGTAGACAATTCATTACATGTATGGATCATTCAACAAAGGTCAGATTCAGAGTCACATACTAGTATTCAATTTTTATAATTTTCAGTTAATATTGCTAATAATTATTACAACAACAAAAATAAAATAGCAAGTTTAAAAAAAAAAAGGAAACATTTTCTTTTTCATAACTTTTGTAAACCAAAAGAAAATTTCAGGTGGTCACCAAGTTAAAGCTGTTTGATCCAATCTATAAAAGTTAATATTTTCCACCATTATTCATTTCTTTCTTTTCTAAAATAACACATTCTTGTTCCTACATTTAAATGTACCGTGTAAATGTATACTTATTTAATAGAAAAAATACAAATAATCAAGTAACATAAGAGTTATTGCCCTTTGCACCATTGTCCTAACGAATTGATTTATTTTTAAAAAAAAAATGATTTAATGATTCTCTTTATTAGTTTACTGACTCTACAAAAGAAATATTTTTATAGGGCACTAAGTTTTAATGACAAATATTGCTAAAACCTATGATGTCATTGGAGGGTAGCGATTTACATTAAGTACAAGCCAGAACAATCTAGCACAAATGTCTTTTATTCATTTCAATTTTGAAGCTTGAAAGTCTGCATAAATAAGAAACCTTACCGCCGTGGGTGTGATCGGCCGGCAGGATATGCTCACTCCTCCATGGCACCTGATCCCACCTCTGATGTTTTGGAGGTCTGTGTTTGCTCTGCTCCTCATTAAAAATTTGTAATGTTTAAAGGACTTTTGAGCTAGAAAACTGTTCGTTATAGGTCTGTTAATAAGAAAGATATTCATTTTATTTTTCAGTAAGTATAAAATGCATGATTCTCTATGATGTAATGGTGATGAGTTGGAATCAATCTAATTAAAATTAAATGTTAGATCCGCTTGCATACTCGCTATACTAACATCTAACAATATCCCATTGAGGGTCACGTCAGAATTCAAACTCTATCAACCAATCAAGTCGTCACCTGCAAAATCATTGTATATTGTTGAAGCGAATAAGTCTAGACCTCTGACGTGTCCATATGGGATGTTGTTGGATGTCAGTGTAGCGAGTATCTGGGCAGATCTAACATCTAATTTTAATTAGATTGAGTTCGAATATAACTTGTATAAAAGGTTATAACTATGATGACTTTGTTTAACAAGTACTTATATGGTAACCTGTATCAAACTGCCATCCTTAATGTTTTATCAGCCTGTTACTGCTGATGACAGGTGCCTTTCTGCCCCCACCCCAGGGAAATATTTTATCAGCCTGTTACTGTTGATGACAGGTGCCTTTCTGCCCCCACCCCAGGGATATATTTTATCAACCTGTTACTGTTGATGACAGGTGCCTTTCTGCCCCCACCCCAGGGATATATTTTATCAGCCTGTTACTGTTGATGACAGGTGCCTTTCTGCCCCCACCCCAGGGATGTATTTTATCAGACTTTTACTGTTCATGACAGGTGCCTTTCTTCCCCCACCCAGGGACCCCTGGAGGACAAGTACCGCCAAGAACTAATGGAGTTCTTTGGAATCAGGTTTAACCAGCTCTTCACAATTACCAACATGCCAGTCAAACGTTTTGCAGACTTCCTCTATCGAAGGTAAATATGAAACTTCTTTTTGTATTGAGGGTAAAAGAATTACATACATGTATACAGTAAAACATGCCATAATGAAGATCAAAAGACAAACAGTTCTTATTCATGCTAGAACTTATTTGTTATATCTGATGAATTTATAAAAGGTTTAATCAAGTAAGAAAATCTGGCTAAGAGCATGCATTACCTACATTTGAACAATTTAGAATCCCTATCTATTTTTATGTGTAATTTCTGCAGCAGTACCTTACCTTAGAAGAAGGGAGGGCATATTGCTTTGCTACTGTTGGTCTGTCTGTCTGTCTGTCCACCATCAGTTTCCATTCATTTTCTCCACAGAGATCACACATATTAAAATGAAATTTGGTAAACAGTTTTAAGGATATCTAGGTCAAGTTCTGTTTTGGGCATGCTCGAGCATTTTTTGACAGTTATGTCCTTAAACTTTAAAAATTCCAATTATTTGCTACTGAGAAATGACCCCTATTTATTTTAAGTTCAAAAGGTCAATTTCATTTTCATGCATAATATTCTTTGCACATAATAAAGGCTTGTGCACCCTATAATGTATTCCATGGGAGAGAGGGAGGTG